ATATTCCCCTTGCTAAAAGAGTCTTGCAGCCAGCAGCTCACTCCTATCCCTTCTTTTTCAACCTACCATCTCTTGTCTATTTTTAGTTTTCTTTTGTTGTTTGTTTTCAAGCCTTGTTCTTTTTTCTATCTATCCATCATTGTAAGGTTACTCCAATTGATTTGAAAAAAATAAATAATGTTTAACGTAAAAAAAATAAATATGATCCAATAAAACGAGAAAATGTAACCTAAGTAAATTTGAATATGAAAGCAATTTCACCCATTTATCTATTCGAACACTCTTGTAATTTCTATTTATTGTAACTCTTTTCATTTTGGAACGTTCCGAACGATATTAACATTTTTATAATTCTTTAATATGATAGTATTGCTAGTACAATATATAAATTAATTTAAATAATAAAATTCAATCAAAATCACGGGATTATAATACCTAAACCAATGCCTAAAATACAGAAAATTTGCCGAAATAACTTCGAGTTTTGCTAAAGAAGAAAATGCTATGTAATAGAAAGGAAGAATGAGACCCACACCACTATGTACAAATGGATTCTAGGAAGAAGATTCTGCACCAGACTCATATACATAAAAGGAAAAAGAAAAAGAAAAAGAAATATAACTGTCATTCAAGGGTGTTGAAGAGCTTTGTTTTATAGATAAGAGCACAACATATGATGATATTATTGTCGACGGTAATTTAATATTTAAGTGAAAAGTGTTGAGAAGTTAGCTCATTACTAAAATAATTGCAAAAAAGCTTTCATAAAGCATTTGACCAAATTAATAAAGAGAAGAATAAAAACTATTATATTTGAGTTGACATATTTCAGCATAGATAAAAATAGTAACATATGTACTTGATAAAATAGTCCTGCAAGCTACCCACACCTAGGGTGTACAGAGGAAATCGACAAATCGCACCAATTCGATAAACCGAGTCAAATCGAGAAAAAAACTTCGACTATGGTTTGGTTTGATTTGGTTTGGTGTTGGAAAAAAAAAACCCGACCATAATTGGTTTGGTTTGGTTTTTAACTAAAGAAAGTCAAACCGAAACCAAACCAACCCGACATCACATATAGAAATTTTAGATATATTTAATATATAAATATACTTATTGTGATGTACTTATAAATATTTTTTAAACTTTTTCATAATTTTATCTTTTACGGTATTATTTCAAGGTTGGACTTAGAACTTTTGAATGTTCCAATAAGTTTCATAGTCATTAATATTAGTAACTCAAATGCTAACAAAAGCCCAAACCAAAATCAAATCAATACTAATGCTAACAAAAGACATTCAATTCAATACTTGGAATGACAATGTATTGAATATTTATTTTTAAATTTGCAATGATTTAAATAAAAATGCATAACCTATTTTTATTTTTTCTTTAGCGTTTAGTCATGTAATTAATACTCCCCTATTAGTCTACTTATTTTAGCATGATTTAGTACTTTTAGATTATGTTTATTTTTATTATGGTTTTTTAATTAGCAATATTTATATTACGTGATTTTATTGTCTTTATTGTTGAATATTTTAGGATATTTCCATGACACATATTTTGTATTATTTTATTGAAAAATACCTTATATAGTTATTGTAGCACCCCGAAAAATTTCGAAGTACTTAAGCGTTATTAAGAAAGTTGATGTGTGCTAATTATATTATTTTGTGTGCAGACGAGGACTATTAATATGATGAATATCAATTGGATATGATAATAAGTGTACGAGGTATATTATAAGTGATGTGGGGTCTAAGGATAGCTTTAAGTCCAAGCCAAGTGGAAATTACATAATAGACTAAAGTTCCAAATAAGTACGCACATGACCTAACTTTGGACAAGCATATCTACATATTTATAAGGAGTTATGTGATGGACAACCTAACAAATGAAAGATCTTCGAGTCTAGTTTCTAACACTTTAAATAGTTTGTCATTTGGACATTCCTACAAGAAGTTATGACGAAGCATCCGGAGCCGCATCCGAAAGAAAGACTGGCAGTGAAGTGTTGCCATAGCATCCAGGTCCGCATCCGAGCTTTGAAGAGGAGTGAACTGGCGATGCGAAGCATCCGAGGCTGCGTCCGAAACCCAAAAATCTGGGTCTATAAATACAAGGTCGGGGGATGAGAGTATTTTGAGTATTTGGGGGTTAGTGTTCTTGAGGTGAAGGGGCAATTTTGAGCTCAAATCAAGTCCAATCAACTAAGGTAAGTTATTAATGATATTTTGGGTTGATTCTTACTCAATATACATGATTCTAACATCATTCTTACATCCATATACTAGATTTCATTATCAAATCCTCAAGAACACAAAAATCACCAAAGTTGTGATTTTTCAAGATTGATCTACTAGAGGTAATTCCAGTGCTTCAAACTCGTTTATTATGAGTAGTTAGAAGTATTTGAAGTATTTGTTACAAGTTTTAATGGTTGAGAGATTGGATTATAAAACTCTAGTTCATGGCATAAATAGTACTTTTGAGAAAATAAGAGAGAAGATGAATGGTAATCTTAGCGATGAAAATTATGAATACAACGAACCCATGGAATTATTTGTTAACAAAAGATGGAAGTGATAAACTAAGTAATCATCCTAATTGTATATTGTGTAGGTTTTGATTATGGAAGAGGACGAATAGTAACTTGGTGGCAATGGACAATTGATATAGTATCATTAATGACTTCGAATGGGTATTAAAATATAAGGATGAAGTTGAATGGTCTAGCTTGTAAATCTATTTGGCGATTTGAGTTGTTGGAGGCTTGTAGCCAATTTACGAGCCATATATGGATATTGATCAATATCTTAGGTTATATTTTGATCTAATTAGGATATATAATTGTAGATATCGGCTTGTCGGTGATGTTTGAGCATTTTAATCAGCATTGGAATGATGGAAGAGGATTGAGAGCTTGTGAATATCAATAAAGCGAAAGCGAGGTAAGTTGATTAAAACTTGCTCTTCTTGAGGGACTTTCTCTAAAAGCATGTTTCAAGTTAATACTTAAGTTCTTTGCAAATGTGCTTTCGTGCTTGTGGGGACAAACAAGTACGGATGTCTCCATGTACTAAAATATTATGTTGCACATGTAGTGTCATGCCATTTTGTAAAATTTTATTTTAAATCTTATTTGCAAAATGACACTTAAAGTAAATGTTATAAGTTTTTATCAAAACTTACGTATTGACAAGAGTATACATATATGAGTGCTAAAGATATGTTTTCATGAAAAGTATTTCTTTTGAAAATTGATGTGCAGAATAGCTCTTGTGGTATCTTTTAAAGATTGATGTTAAGTTGCTAAAGGCTTTAGCATGTAAAATGTTGTTTATTTAATTTTTGTTCAAATGATTTAGATTTTCTATAAATGCTATGATTTGATAAAAATAGATCCTTTGAAGCTACTATGCTATGAAGCTATTTTTGAAGTATCAAATATTTTGGGAGTTACTTGTGTTCACCGAGATTGACTTCGAATATATTGTGTTCGTTGTCATGAAACTACATGTGCCGGTGTAGGCGTTGATGGCCACTTTGTGGTATAGACTATGACAGAGTGCTCTCCCTCGAGAGAGTGCTATTTTGTGCTATTATTAGCATGGCAGAGTCGATTCGTACGACACTACGATGAAACAACCTGAGCAAGTAGGGTATATGATACTTGTCGCTAGGTACATAACCTAGTTGACCTTCTTATGTCGGTGATGGTATAGTACTTCCAGTGAAAGGCAAGGATGATTTTCTTATGTTTAGGCCTAAGGAGCCGAAAGTGATTTCAATGACTTAAAGCAAATGAAATGATTTTGTATGATTTTATCCAAAATCTTGGATTTGTGTAAATATTTTAAAAGTATATATTGTGGGTTATATTTCACTTGGCTTTTGACAAGGGTCATGAATTGATAGAATTTCTTATCGTTTTATTTCAAATTGGTGCATTATTTTTATAAATTTTGTCCCAAGAACTTAAGTTAGAGAGAGTCTATGACACTTAATGAGTACCACTGTGGTGTACTCAGCCCTTACGGGCCCCTTTCCAGGGCCCTGCTTACTTTACATATTTCAGGATGAGTATGATACGTGGCATGCGGTCAGGACTAGGGACTCTCTTCCTGAAGTATATGGTGAGGTACCACTCCTATTTCGTGGTAGATATCATGTTGTTTTTCTTAATTTATGCTAGTCGGGTATTGGCCCAAGTGCTTAATTCTATTCTTTGCTATAGAAGCTCCATACATAGTTGTGAAAGGTTGTAGTAATAGGGTTGTACACGACATACATAAAAATATAATTATTTTACTTAGTCTCATTGTTATTATCATGAAAGGTGTTATGTGTGATTTTGAATTAGAAAATATTTTATCATTTAACTTGAAAATGTATATGATTTTCAAGGAGTTTCCGCAGTTAAATTGGTTTTCATGCATATGATTTGGGTGCATCATATTGTTTGGTACACTCGGGTCGGGTAGTGTGCTGGGTGCCGGTCACGTAGATTTGGGTCGTGAAAGTTGTATCTTACTAGGATTAAAGAAATATTTGGAGCACAAGTTATATGTTTTGTGCTACGAAGATTTTACCGGAAAAAAATCCGTAAAAACCGAAAACTCAAGAAAAACCGAGATTGAATACCCCGAGTTTTATTGGTTTGGTTTGATTTTTAGATTTAATAATCCGACACAATTGGTTTGGTTTAATAATTGCAAAACCCGAATCAACCCGACCTATGTACATCCCTAGCCACACCACCTTTATTAAAGATAATATCAACAAAGCAGTAAAATCTTACAAGTAAGATATAGGAAGGTAGTGTGTAGTTCTTTTAGCAAAGTTAATTCTGATAGACTCTTGGCTCAAGAAAATAAAAAAAATTAGTAAAAATACGCAATCTCAAATAAAAAGGGGCAAAAAAGATAATAACAACAAAAGGAGAAAATTTTTAAAAGAAGAGATAAAGTGTACCATAGAGAGAGGAAAGTGAGAGGAGTAAAACAAAATATTTATTTGTTCTAAAACCCTAAAAACAACAATACCCCAACCTCTCTTGAATTTGTTTTGTTTGCCAGATATTTTTCCTCTCATTTTGGTGTAAACCAAACAAACAGAGAGAGCAGAAACAGCAATGGCCACCATGTTAGGACTCTCAAACCCAGCAGAGATAGCAGCTTCTTCTCCTTCCTTTGCTTTTTACCACTCTTCCTTTATTCCTAAACAATGCTGCTTCACCAAAGCTCGCCGAAAAAGCTTATGTAAACCTCAACGTTTCAGCATTTCGAGTTCGTTTACTCCTTTTGATTCTGCTAAGATTAAGGTTATCGGCGTCGGTGGCGGTGGTAACAATGCCGTTAACCGTATGATTGGCAGTGGCTTACAGGTTCTTTTATCCCTTTTTCTTTTTTATCTTTTTGTCCCTTTTTGTGTTTTTCAAAATTGTTTCTTTTTTGTGTCTTCTGTGCTACCTGTATATATAAATTTTGAGTCTTGCACTCCCCCTTTTTATGTAATTTCAAATTTTGTTCCTTTCTCATGTCCAGTATATGAAAAAAGGGTCTTGGAATGCTTTTTTTTTTTGTTATTATTTGCTCATCTTGTATGTACCTAATTTAAGCAACTCTTTTCAAATTAGCTAGCAATTAGACCCCCCAGAAGTATTTTTGAGGACAGAAATGAAAATAAAAAGAAAATTTGGACTATGTTTCACCAAAATGCATTGTTGTATGGACTGAGTAACCAATGTAGTAGCGAGCATTTACTTCCTTATCATTTTGATCTTATTTTAACTGTTATACTACAAGTTATGAATGTTGTTAATTCTAATTCTGAAGTTCTAGTTAGTTTTTATTTTTTATTTTTTATGGAGTACTTTATATGAAGACGAATTTTAAGTTATCAACCTTCAAAATACGATTGGTTACCTGCTCCAGAATACAACAAATTGCATTTCCTGCTTCAGAATATCAAAACCATTTGTTCCATAATACAAATGGCCTTATCTTGTTTTTGTAACACAACTTGCTACTACTATTCTATGTATTTATGCATCAAATTGAGTATCTCAATTTATAATGAAGAAATGATAATAGCTGCAGACAAGAGCCTGGTATTTAAGTGGAGAAGTCGAGGGGAGGGCCCATTATCCAGTGAGGTTTGAGCCATACGCAGCCGTTGGTCCTCGAATTTTCTCGGTTATATAAAAAATAAAGAAGTGATAACAGCTCTATGTTCTATAACGCCAAAAACAAGACTTGGGATCATGTTCTATGCTTTGTTCCTGTGGATACTTTAGAAGACAGGAACTCAATATCAATCCTCTTTGTTTGTTTGACTTAAGATTTCCTTTTCTCTCTTAGCAACCAAGTAGTTACACTTGGATTCTCTGTAACCCTCAAGTGAAAAAATTTGGACATTTTATTGACTCCCTTATTTTCTTGGCGTTGCTATTGAATTCACAAGGGTGTATATGTATTATCATTGGCTTGGTTAACAAATCCGTGCCATGAAGAAAAGCTAGAAATCGTTTTACTTATTTGTTTATGATGATTCTTCAGTTTGCTTTCTTTTAATGAATATTAGTTGAGACTCTCATGTGATGATTCAATCCCTTCATTTCACATGACGAATCTCATTGTTGCATCTCCAAAAATAGGGTGTTGACTTCTATGCTATAAACACTGATGCTCAAGCACTACTTCAGTCTGCTGCTGAGAACCCACTTCAAATTGGAGAACTTCTGACTCGCGGGCTTGGTTAGCACTCTTCTGTCTCTCTATAAAAATATTATTCTTTCAGACTCTCTATTCTAGCAGCTTTTCATTAATCAAACATTGTACTAGTTTTTTATATCAATATCAACCATGTTAAAATAACTTCGGCAGAAGCTAGCATCAAGAAAGTTATACTCTATCCTGACTTTGTAAAGTGACATAGTATTACTTTGCCTATATGGCATCACGTGTTGTCACGGGTTGCTCTAGATGTGGATGCTTCTTGTTTTGCTATTGATTTTGAGGCTTGTGTTTAACAGTCTAACTTTTTAAACACTTCTATGCTTCTTGATAAGCTAGGTAACTCTTTCTTTATTTGATGTAATGATTTGTTACGTAAGTTGCTTCTTGAAATGCAGGTACTGGTGGCAATCCTCTTTTAGGGGAACAGGCAGCGGAGGAGTCAAAGGAAGCCATTGCAAATTCTCTAAAAGGTTCAGATATGGTGTTCATAACAGCAGGAATGGGTGGAGGTACAGGATCTGGTGCTGCTCCTGTTGTGGCTCAAATAGCAAAAGAAGCAGGCTATTTGACTGTTGGTGTTGTCACATACCCATTCAGCTTTGAAGGACGTAAAAGATCCGTGCAGGCAGGTGCCATTTTCAGCTCCTTGGAGAATAGAATTTTGCTTCTTTTTCCTAGACTTTTTGGGGATGTTTCATTTCACAACAACTAGAAAATGTTAAAGCATGTTAGGAGGTCCCAGCATAAAAAGGGAGGAATGTTTATTTCACAATGAAGAAATTGCTAGAAAAAGAATAAGCAATTGGAAAGGCTACTTTTTCTGGTTCTGGTTTAACTGCTCTAAAAACGGGACATTTCCACTTAGAGGTGCAAATCGTTTATGAAGATGCATTTTCAATTTCCATTGATTAGTGAAACATGCTTGATGTGAAAGGGAGTGAGGTAAGGATGAAGAAAGGAAATGAACATAGCATTGAGTTGTACAGCAAGTTTAGGGATGAAATATTGAGATGCGTAAGGAAACTCATATTGTGTAAAGCTTCAAACATAAGCTAATATTGATGAACTCTAGACATCTAGAGGGAACATAATAAAGCTTCAAACTTATGTTAAATAGCTGTCATGCTTAGGTGGTATGGGAATATTTCCTTCGCTATTAAATGACTCCCAAAATATGGTCCTTCGAATACGCCTCTGCCTCACAGCCTCAGGATGATTAGTCTTCAGTATCTCACCCGTAGAAGGATGACCATAGGAACTTTCTCTAGATTGGGTAAAATTTGTAGAGAATCATATTATGTTGTAGATTCTCTTCCTTTCTACCAACATACCAATATCTAAACAAATTATAAGACTCTTGGCAAACACCATAGCTAATGTAATTGGACCAACAAAACTAAACCTTTTCTCTATGCCTCATTTTAATCCCATTATGCGCTTAACCTGGGTATTATAATAACTGGAAGCGCTGACAAACATTTGGCGCTTGATGGATCTAAAGGAAATGGATTGCTCTCTAAGGCAAAAGTGTTCATATGCCTGAACCTGAACATAATTCTGACTTTTCTAACTGGCTTATTTTCTTTTCTGCGCCAATGTCCTATGTTCCTTATCATTAAAAATATTGTTTCCATGGTATGTTTTATGCTCCTATCATCCATATCCTTTCATGTAACTTATTTAACTTATTGACCGACAGGCTCTGGAAGCAATCGAAAAACTTCAGAAAAATGTCGATACCCTTATAGTAATTCCCAATGACCGTCTGCTAGATATTGCTGATGAGCAGACACCACTTCAAGATGCTTTTCTTCTTGCTGATGATGTATTACGTCAAGGTGTCCAGGGAATTTCCGATATAATTACTGTGAGTTCCTTTGTCGAAATCCAGTATCTCTCTCTTTCAATGATATACTGAAATTCTTTGTTGTGTTATACAAATGTATAATGTCATCGTACTGGTTTTAGTTACTTTACTAAATTCTCAAAAACACACTTGCGAACACACGTTGGCATAAAAAAGAGGCCTACTTGTTTTTTAATCAATATAGCATTTTCTGCGACTGAACGTTAAATGCAAAAAGGTTCAAGAGTAATGAACTGTGGCATGCCATCCAGTTGCTTCACTGTCTTAACGAATCTTCTATGATGGACTTTTTCTGTATTAAATATAATATTGCAGAGGTTATGTTCGTTTAATATCTCATGAAAGGCTTCAGAAAAGAACTTTCCCGACTAAAACAGGACTGGTAATTTTCGTATTTGCAACTTAGCATGTTTATAGACGTTATCGCATTATGTGCTATAAATCTGCATAAATTCTGAAGTGGTCCTTCTATTTGCAGATACCTGGGCTTGTAAATGTGGATTTTGCCGATGTAAAGGCAGTGATGAAAGATTCTGGAACTGCTATGCTTGGAGTTGGGGTTTCATCAAGCAAGAACCGTGCTGAAGAAGCAGCCGAACAAGCAACTCTTGCCCCTCTAATTGGATCGTCTATTCAGTCTGCAACTGGGGTAGTATACAACATTACAGGAGGAAAAGACATAACTTTGCAGGAAGTGAATAGGGTGTCTCAGGTGATGATGAGTGTTGTTTTCTTTCTTTCTTTCTTCCCCAGAAATATTAAAGAAACCTTCAGCTCTGTTTGGAAAATGAGAATGATATATGTAATGCTGAAATGCTGGCAATATTTCTCACAGGTTGTTACCAGTCTGGCTGACCCCTCCGCTAACATCATATTTGGTGCTGTTGTGGATGAACGCTACAATGGTGAAATACATGTGACCATAATTGCAACTGGTTTCACCCAGTCTTTTCAGAAGACTCTTCTCTCTGACCCGCGAGGTGCAAAGCTTGCTGATAAGGGCCAAGTAATCCAAGAAAGCATGGCATCACCTGTTACCCTGAGGTCATCAACCTCACCTTCGACAACATCGCGAACACCTACTCGGAGGCTGTTCTTTTAGCTCCTTTATATAGTTTGTTACGGCTTCATTTCTCTCTTTTCTTACTTTTTTTTTAAAAATTTCTTTGTATTTATATGTTTTACTGATTGGTGTTTGCTTTTGGCTGTTGACCTAGTGATGATTCTTATCAAAAGCATCACATTTTCACACTCTGCTGTGCTCTCTTGTGATCTGCCTGTACAGCACGTTTTTGCCTGTAAAAATTCGTTGCCTGTTGATTTCCTCTCTAATGAACATGAGACGTAAATTAGTCACTTTGGTTGGAAAAGTTTGCTCTTACATGCTTAGTATCTCTTAATTATGCATAGACCTTACTTAATGATTATTCGCTGTACAGTTTGGCAAAAATACCTTGCTGGAATTTATATCAAATTGTTGGTATGAGATCGTCTAAATATCTAAAAACATTTATTATACCGTATACCAGGCATGGTACAACTCAACAAGTATTACAGATCTTACTTGTATTTCCCTCGGTATAACTTGATCAAGTAACAACCTAATCCCGTTCTCAAACCAAACAAACCCCAAGGTATTGACCATTTCAGGGAACATTCTAGAACATCCGAGTTTTTTTTTTTTGCACGCCAAATTCAACAATCCAAATAGTTTTTGCAATCTGAGCTATACAGGCTACATACAGCACAGAGAGAATGATAACGGCAACTCAACTTAAACGCTTCTCCCAAGGGGTTGGCAAAATATCAAACTAATTAGCACACTTCTTTGGATAGAGACGCATGATGTAAAGCATTATACTTGCACTGTTGCACATTTCATATTTCTGTATCCCGGCCAAAGCTATTGATCTTGATCCTCTTCTACGGGAATCATATTTAAGATATGGGATCAAAAGAGAAGATGCAGTATATAGTAAAACAATATAAGTTTATTACTTATAAACGGGAACAATCACAGTTGCCATTCATTTATGCAACCTGCCTTCCTATTACAGCCACTACAAGATCACAAAAAGAATGACAACTCAGGTGAAGGTGCAAAGAATAACATACTGTCACCAAAATATTCAAATAGAGGTGGCAACAAATTTGCTGCATCCATATCCTTCTTTGAGGCCTGACCAAAAGCAGCTGGTGCTTTTTGGATTTTCCCACCAGCAATCTCTCTTCTGCTAGATCTCATCCCATTGTTCGCATTCTCATTTTGCAAGCCTTGTGGCCCTGATGATAAACTCGCATCTGTAACACCCAGGGTTGTGGCATTTCCACCAATAGCTCCTTGTATGCCTACTGGCAAAGAACTTGATAACATTGGACTTGCCGGACCATCTATGTTTAATTTCTTGGGTGGGGGCTGTGAGATCATGTCGTCCATGCTCGCTTTGCGTTTATCTAGACAATTATAAAGAGGCATTCAAAAAGTGCATTATAACCAAGGATGACAAAAATAACGTTTAGCGTTGCTTAGCAATTGGAGCCAGAAGACATCCATGGAAGAGGACTTCCAAGATAGCACGGCAGAACCAACAATGCAAAAGCTTATAGGGAGATATACAGACTTGCACAAAATTATATTTCTGCACAGTAAATGCTTTAAGATATATAAGGGGTTACTGAGTTACTAATTAGTACGGAGTATCTATATACTACGTGAAAACACTAAATCATTCAAATGTGTTTCAGACAGGAAAATGCTTGCGCTCTGAAATTTAGCATAAAATTTCCACGTTATCCCACAAAACGATGGCAATCTGATACAGAAAAAAAATATAAATCCACAGATCTGTTTGACAAAACATATCATTCCCAAGACCATTTTTAAGGACAGTAAAAGCAGAAAGACATGCTTAGTGGACAACTTAATACTACAACTTCAAAAAACCTGAATGATTAAAAGTTGTAGTTATTGACTGTAGTAAACGATGGCTACGTACTTGACAATGTTGTTGCGATTTTACATTTATTCTTCAGGAATATCCAATTCGATGGAGATAGAGATGCAGGAAGCATCTTGAAATGCTCATACATGCATAGACCTGCAGCGGACTGTGAACGAAAACACAGTTGGAAGAGTTTTTATCAGTGAAGCAGAACATTAATCCTAAAAGCCAAAATTCATGTTAGGCAACATAAAACATTACAAAGAATTAAGATGACGAATTGATATGAAAAACTCTTAGAGCATTGCAAACAAGTCACCATCAAGGCTCCATATACACGCCAAGCTTCATGTCTCTTTATTTCATTTTTTTGTTTCTCAAGCTGCATTTCAGGCTCCAGCAATCGCAAATAAGCCTCAAGATTCGGCAGCACAAGTAGGCGAACCTACACAAAATTCATAAACATCATAGATTGCAGCTTAAAATTTATAAATAATAAAAAGATGAAAAGAAAATACAGGGATAACAAGGAGATACCACACCAGATCCAAGAGCTGCTAGCCCTTGAATTGCTCCATAATGCTGGGGCAGTGCCTTAGTTGGATCAAGATAAGCATGCAGCAAAGTCTTCGTAATACGTGGCTGGAGACTGTGATACACATGACCATAGCTGCACAGCTTTAACTTGTGAGCAACACAGTTCCAATTGATAATATGGAGATTAACCAATATCATGGGAGTAAAAGATCACCAATTGCTAAGCACCGTCATTCGAGCAGATTACGAAATGATCTACATGTGTCAACAATTATACAGATATACAACCACCCTCTTCCCCTGGAACCCAATAATAATAGTAGACAGCAGAGGAGATGCATGCCTTTTTAGCCTTTGATGAAACAAAACCAAGAGAATGACTGAATAAAGAGATCCCTACCGCCTGCATATTAAAGCAACCAACTTTGCTGTGAAGTCCCTAAGTTGCCAATGGTTATCAGAGAATTTATTCCCCAACCTTTTTGCAACAAGGCATGTCACTACAGATGGCATCGACTGGTGCAGCTGGAAAGATAAACAAAAAAATCATCAGATGCAACTATGGGAACATCATTCAGACCCAAAGAAAAAGTTGCAGAATTAAGCCCAAACCAATTTTCCAATTATGTGAAAGACACCAATTTAATGAACAAAGTAATTTAAGAACTTATTCAGAATAAAGAAAATCTAATATTGTCCGTGAAAGCGGACTCCATCTCTTTTTTTTATGGACATCTGCTTATTGTTTTATTTGGCATCTCCTTAGAAAAATAAAGGAATAAATATCATTAAAAAAAATTTAAACACAGTCATCAAGGATAACCAGCTTTTTACAGACAGATTATAAATTTTTATCGTGCATTCCTGGAATAAATTAAAGGATAAATAAACTGAAGCAAATGGTACTGATGTATCAACAATAGACCCACATAAGGTTCAATATGTAAATGAGAATTCTGAAGAAGGCTCCAGACCAGCCTCATCAAAGCAAAAAGGAGATCAAAATTATTCAAATTCCGTGCAACCTGACATAAAACAGTAGTATCATTAGATCATTTATCTGTCACTTACAAATATTACATTGCTGAACTTGAATCTTAGACTTACCTCATCAGCAACAAAATAAGTGAAGTAAGGAACTAAAGGATGGAGTCCAGGGTCTGTTGCTAAGCTTGCTAGAGCTTCCTTAAAGAGAGGGGAGTTAGATTTATTCACGGTAAGTTCTGTAATCTTGTCATAATAAAGCTGCAAAACAACCAAAGATGCATAAGGATAGAATCATATAGGATGAGCAAACATGACACAACCATATTAGTATAGTTGTACCTGAAGCTCACGGGATAAGACATGCTTAACAGGTATTTTAAGATCAACAGGAACTCCATCCTCCTTATACTCAGACTTTCGGTTATCAGCGGGCGGAGCAAGTGCTGCCATGATATTAATCTATCAGTCACAAGTATAACATATTTTTTGACAAGTAAGAGTAAGTCTCAACATGTAAAATATCATCTGTAGATAGATATTTTAATTGGTTCTGTTTCATCACTATCCTCTTCCATTTCTTTACAGCCACAGGGAAGACAAAGAAATTCCAAACCAGGACAATTAAGAGAATGAGAATCAATATCATGTTGATAAAACAACGGGTAGCAATCAACATATAATTGGACAAACCATCACCTATGTACGTTGACATGTCTACACAAGCTAATTGCTGCTAAAGTTATTGTAAAAGACGAACCTTCAAGTGGAGGGTTTTCAGGAATAGCAGGCTGTACCCCTTCTATAGCTAACCAGTGAGCAAAAAGAGCAGTATCTAATGGTGCTTTCGGCAAAGGTGCTTCGATCACCTAAAACACAATAAGAGAAACTTACCATAAGCATGACTTAAAGTAATCTAAAGAGTAAAGTTGGTAAGGGACCTGAGATATCCAAAATTTCTTACATCTTTGAATTCTACATCCTTCTCTTCGATATAGAACAAATCCTTATGCCCAGCAGCTCTCCTGAACCGCAAGGGATCTCCTGAAGCAAAACCATATATTGGCTGCTCAAGGCACACCGACATAAAGGGAAACAACATCAATGAGATTGAGAACAGACAGTTTCAAGAACCCAAAAAGGACTAGGCAAGGGCAATGACAAATTACATCCGAACCACGCCAATGAGCAACACTGGATGTACATTAGGGGCCGCGGCCCAGGAATGTACATTAGGGTTTAACATAGGGGTTCGGCATTTGGCCCAAACAGAAACCCACTAAATATATAGAAATATTAAATTCAGAACCAAGTTACTAGCATTTGAGGTTGCTGTCCTACAATCCAGAACCATAAAGTTCAAATCCTGGATCCGCCTTCGGTGATACTCCACATACTTTACACACCTGGATATGCCTCAGCCAATGAGCAATAGAGTCGTAAAGGAGAGAAGAGGTACGTACCTCCACATTTCTTAAAGTGAGTGCAGAATCGACATCATCAGTAGATAAAGTAGTCCTTTTCGAATGGCGCATACATTTAATAGCCTCCTACATTATCGAATTAAAATCATTCAAATTAACATAAAGTGCGCGATAATCACAAAAATAGAGAATCACAGCATTTATATCCTCAAACTTATCAGGAACGGCAAAATTTAGTATATAAATTAATGCGAGCTTCACCTGCATAATTTCACGAATACGGTACTCGACATCGGCGGCGAGAGCAGGCAAGACATCCGGTGATAAATTGCTTATTCCTATGCTCTGTGCTATCACTTCTATTGTCTCTTTCGGCACTATGCTCATTTTTATGCTGTTTCAGTGACAATTTCAGACGTAGGGTCGAGGGGATATGCCGGAGCAAAGAAAGTTGGAAGAAAACACCAACTGGAACAAATAAGGGGAAAACTTACCCGTGTGTTCACAAAAAAATTTAGTTAGTTTATTATTCGCAAATCTAATTTCGATAAAGTGAGTTAGCTTTGAGTTTTATTTATTATTATAATTATTATTATTATTATTAATTATTATTATATTAATGTTATAATATTATTGTTCTTGTTATTATCATTAAGTAATATTATCAATTTCAATTTATTTTGTGTTTTTAATATTTGAAGTTTGTATCATTTTCATAATATTTTTAGACAGTGTAAGCGGTGCTACTAGGGGTGTTCACAAAAACCCGAAAAATCAAACCAAAACAAACTGACCAAAAAAATCGAAACTTTTTAGATTTGGTTTGGTTTTGGTTTTGAATTTTAAAAACCAATCTAATTTGGTTTGGTTTTGATTTTAATCAAAAGATAATCGAAAAAACCCGAACCAAACCGACTATAAAAGTAGCTATTTAAATTTATTATTATACCTATATATATATATATATATATATATATATATATATATATATGTATATTTTTTTAAATAAAGTTTCTAAAATTTTATGGTACATATTAGTCATTTATATTTTTAGTCTAGTTCTTTGTTATTACAACAATCTTATTCTTTGCCTTTACATTCTAGTTTGATTGGTAGTGTTCTTTTGCTAAGTACAAGAATTTATTTCATGTTAAAAATAATTAATTTCTAATTGAGTACGTAAACTATTCATCACTATTTGATTCAGTTAGCATCAATATATCTTGGTAAATGATAGATTTCTCAAAGAACAATTGATTTGATAGTGTTAAAATGTAGTCGCCGGAATATGCATTCGATAGTGTATATCTCATATTTAAGAAAAAACCCGATAAGTAACCGAAAAAATCGAATCGCTAAAAAACCACTTAATTGGTTTGGTTCCAATATTTGAAAAACCAACTTACTTGGTTTGGTTTCTTTTTAGGAAAAAACCGATCCAAACCGAACCATGAACATCCGTAGGTTTTACAGTCAAACCTTTCTATAACAACCTTGTTTGTTCCGAATATCTTTTGGATGTTATAGAGAAATGTTGTTATAGATAACATATATTATAACATAACATAAAAATTGACTCCAGAAAAAGTTTGACTTTTTTAGCAAGGTGTTGTTACATAAATATGTTGTATAGAAAGGTCTGATTGTACATAGTGTCTAAAAGCAATTGAATTACTTTCAACTTGTTTTGCTGCGAGCAGTAGCGCATAAGATTCCACTTTCTAGTTTTTTAGGGGGATAATACATAATTACCCATCGAACCTATATCACTTTACCAGTTGTATCCTCAAACTTTATGTGTCCTATGAATCTTCTATCATTGTTTGAAGTGAAATAAGTTTCCATTTGCGTCTAGTACCAGTTTTGAGAAAATTAGTGGACAACACGTACCAATCACATTTTGCCACAACAATTTCTTTTACTGTTTTTCTTTGTTATTTATTATTTTCATTTTACCTTTTTTCCTTTTCTTTCTTACTTCTTTCTTTTCTTTTTCTTTTTCTTTTTTGTTTTCTTCTTCTCCGACACAATAGTGGCACCACCATAGTCACTGTCACCACCACCCATGTCCACTGGAAATCAATTTAAGCACCGCCAAATTAAAATTTCTATTACAATCGATGGGTCCTTTCCCACCAGTCGATTTTTCTTGTTATCTTTTTGTTTTCTTTTCTCCTTTTTCATTCTCTGCAATTGGTGAAATTTCAGATCTCCAATTAAGTGATTGCTTCAAATTTCAAATCTTTGAACTTGGTCCCCAGTTTATCCGGCGAAGAATTCGTCGGAATTTTTGTTAGCATGGTGAATTTGAAGAATTCGCAGAAAATTCAAGTAATTCAGCACCATCAAACTATTGCACAAATCAAAAATATTAACAAACACCAAAATCATCAACAACAAGAAACTCTATTTAGATTCCAAAAACAACGGCACCCCAACACAAAACCTGAATAAAATACTGAATGCGGCAGAAAGTAATCTTACCGGAAAAAAATTGATCTTTTTTATATTATGTTTGCAGAGAAAAGAGGGGGTAATGAAGAAGGAGAAGGTTGAAGGAAGCCATGGTTTCACGCCAAAAGAGAAAGAAGAACAGAAAAAGAAAGGAAGAGAAAAAAACCAAAAAAAAAAAAATAGAAAAATTAATATTTAATGAAAAAAATGCTGATAAAAATAACTTTTTTACCTCTCACTCTTATTACACTTCTAACTAGCACAGAGAGCTCATAGGACCCTCGCAAAGTATAAGGATGCACCTGGTGGTAATGTGCTACAACCCCAATGGGATAATTATGTATTATCCCTTTTTTAAATATGAATCTTTCTGATGACTTGATCAGACTCGTTCTTTGTGATATGCACAACTATATGCTCGTTTCAACAATTTGCAACCAATATTTCAAAAATTCACTTTCACAATATACCTCTTAAAAATTAAAATCTCCAATTTCTTGCAAAACGATAACTTGATGAGTTATTAGAGTCACACAGATAAACGTATATTCCCTGGTCTTATTTGAAAAAAGATGAAGAAAATTAAGAGTAGATCGAAAATCGAATATGACGCTTACGTTCGGTTAGCTTCCAAAATCACAAAAAAGCATACCGAGGTGCAAGTTTCCAAAGTGAAAAGAACTTTTTCCTTCATCCTTTTTTTTTATAATGTCAAGACAATTGCACACCTAAAGAAACAAATAAACAAAACCAAGGAGAACTCCAGTGTACTAATGCCTATCAGAAAACTACTCAAACCTGGTATTAATAGACTTTATAAGCTGCTCTCGATGTCTTTTCTACATATGAAAGCATATCAAGTAGGAAAACAGAGTTCAAACTTCAAACCTGTCTCAAGTCTCAACACACTAATGTGATCACACAATCACAAAAATATCGATTACACAGGAGAAATAGAAAGAGATGTTCAAGTTGTCACAGACACACTTCTCATACACACTCCAAGGCACTAGTTCTTTTGCATTTACAGATACTTAATCAACATATATATTGCCACAACAAGAACTACAATCCCAAGCGCCGATAGAAGCAGACACATGCAAGAGCAACCACCCTTTGTGCGCTTGTTCAAAATTGCAAGCTTTTTCTGCACTCGCTGTTGAATGATTTTGAAGAATCGGGAAAGATGAACGAATTAAATGACAGTAAAGAATTCTCACCATCACCAAGAATAAAAGAACTGAAGAAAAGGAGACGGGCAAGAACTGTCTTACTAACAGAGCAAGTGCCTGTATTAGAGCACGGTGCTTTTATTTATTTTAGTTTTTACTGGATGAATGAGCAAAGGTGTTGTAATTAGCAGAAAACTAATATATCTCATCCAGAGGCGGATCCAGGATTTCAGGAGAATGGGTGCACCACTATCCGACCACCGTTTAATCTGGTTCTCTAAAATTTAACTTGGAAAACTATCAATAATAACATCATTATTTATAGTTACAAGTACTAAGCTCAATATATTAAAATTAAATAACTAATCAAAAAGAGAGTGGTAATGAAAAATGAGGAAACTTGAAATTGAAAAGATTCAAAATGATTAATTTTCATTTTTTATAGTTTTTGAAACTAAATGATTTAACTAAAAAAGAGAATAAAGAAAACACAGAAAAGAATCCAATAAAAATGAAAATTTAATTCAAGGATATATCAAAGGATGAACCCAAAAACGGAAGAATGCATGGGAAAAAAAAGAAAGATAGGACATGGGTTTTGAACAAAAGAAAAGAACGAAAAAGAGAAATAGAAAAATAGCTAAGAGATAGAAGATAGGAAAGTGGGATTCGAACACTAGACCTAGGAGTCAATGGTGCACAATGCTACCACTACACCAAATGCTCTTTTGAGCATGGGTTCCCACGTGGATAATGAAGTACTTTATCCGAAAAATATCCCTGTGATGCACAGCCTAAGGAGGCGAGCATGGGTGCACGTGCCCCATGTCCCTCCACGTGGATCCGCCTCTGATCTCATCCAATGACCAAATACAATAAACTATATGTGGTCTGGTAAAAAATGCATTCAGATTTCACGTAGATACTCCAAATCTGTTGGTGCAGACACTTTGTTTTAGGTTATTTTTTCTTTTTCCTTCTTTTTTGGCTTTTGGTGGTGGGCAAACTTGCGCGCCTAGTTTCGCCTCTCTGGATCAAACATTTGCTACAAGGTTGTCACTCCAGTTCTTTTAACAGCTAGGCCCACCCCTGACCCCTCTGTGCGTAAATCACTTTGTTTAATAAAGACAGCTAGTTTTCCTTTCTATCAATGTCTCTTCTCCAAAGATTCCTCTTCCTCCTTAACCTCTTTGGTGATTCAACGGATTCAGGATCATGGAATTGACAAAAAAATTAATCTCCCGACAGTTCATCT